TTGCTCTCTATGTCACAAGTTCCTAAAAAATGACAGGAATTTATTTTCCTGTCATTTAAAGAATGAAAAAGGATTAAATGCAAATATAGCAGCATAGCACTGACAGCATATTTAACTGCCAGTGCTGTGTGCGTCTCTGGAATAAGAGAAAGTAGTCACAGATACCGACATCATATTTCTGAGACCCTGTTGTCACCTCCTCCTCGTGCCACCATCAGTTCCGAGAACAAAGGAGGAGCATTTTAGTGGTAGATCATCTAAATGGCTGTAACGGCATCAAATGGCAACTTCTGGAGGCCAAAGAAATCAAGCTAAAGTGAAAGTGTTTAAAACTGGAGAAAAATGCAGTTTTAGCTTCTATGTATAGTTCGCTCTTTTGTAAGAACTGGACCACTGGTGATTTGTTTTATATGATGTATTTGGGGACTGGTAAGGCTTAAAATTAGAGGCTTGGCTGCTTTGAAATGTCTCCTGGTATTCAGTGTAAAATGGCACAGTCCAGATTATACAGAGTATTTACTATAGTTTTTTTAAGGTTCTGTTCTTTAGTGTGTTCGATTTAACTGAGAAAAATACTACTAACCACTTATAGGCAGGGTCGTGGCTTTGTTCCAGTTTACAGACCTGCTATAATTTCAGGTATAATTTCAGAAATTATAAGACTTTAGAGTTCAGTTCCATTATGTGTTAACAGGTGAAGACTTTGTCATGCTTTTGAAATCTACAAATCTAAATTGCTTAGTGAAAGATGCCTTTTACACAGTTGTTTAGCAGTTCCAAAATTAGGGAGCTGATTTAAAGCAACTTATTTTTGCAGTCATTGCTTTTATATGACTGTTGCTTGATCTTCAATCTGGAATACAGACTTCAAGCAAACATAAAATGTGCTGCATTTTAAAAAGGCGTCTTTGTTCTCCTTACTCCTATTACACTGGTGGGCGTTGATGTTAAACAAGGAACTTGGGCTTCAGACTTTTCTAGGCTTTCAGTTTGCACTGGTTTCTTCTGCTCATGGCTGATACCAGTGAGAGACACTATGGTCATTTCAGGCACACAGCTCTGGCTGTGAGCACAGGTGCCCCATGCACCCACTGTTCTTATGTTTGAACCAATCAGGAGAAAGCTAGCTTAATGGAGAGGAAGGGGAAATAAAACAGCTTGCTTCAGGCAGAGGATAAACTGAAGGGCTTCACCACAGATCAGTATGAGATCAACAAGGATTATTTTGAGCTGTGAAACAGCAAAGCTACACTAGTATAGTCCAATGATACAAATGTGAAATTGTGAATGAGCATACCAGAGCTCCCTCACAGACGCTAGAAAGAATGTGGAGGTAAACATACACAAAGATTAATCCTTTTTTAACAATATTTCTGCATGATAAATAAGTAAAGCAATTCTCAGATCTGTTCCAACTTTTGATACAGTTATATTTTAAAGATATAACTACCATACTTTAAACAGAATCACCGAATCCTGTGCTTGGCAATGGCTTGTTTTTAAGATGGTAATACCGCAAAAAGTCATTGCTACCTGATTATGCCGCATAATTTGTAAAAACCATCATATGGCAATATTGAGAGGAGAGACTACCAAAGAGGCCTTGGTTCCACCACTATACATTTATGGCTCAGAGCCATGAGCTTTCCTTGTCATGCTGTGGGCCCAATCTGTATCCTGTGCTGACTAAGCCCTTCACTTTTACATCTCTGTGTTCTAACCAAACCTGGAAACCATATTTACTGACTGTGAAGAGCAAGTGAAAAGAAAGCAATTATTTAACACAAAGTCAGTCGCCTCAATTTGCATAAATGTATGATCCCCCCTCGTCATGAAAATGCAAAACCTCGAGCATTTTGTATGCATTAGTAACACAGTGTTTCAGGCGCTTGCAAAGAGACAAACAACTACTTGGGTTATGTAACAGTTCTGTCACACATGAACATTTTGGAAAGCTGTGCTCATCACACTGGACGGTTATAATCGTGTTTTGCTTTTTTGTTTTTTTGTTGTTTTTTTTTGGGGGGGGGGGGGGGTGTCTTGTTGTTGCCATTCGGTAAACCTGAAAACTGCAGCACCACACGGACATGTGTGCCTCTACCAGTGCCAGATTGGTGCTGGCTGGTTTCATTACAACGTCACAGCAGGTAAAGAGGGAAGATCATGGCATTGCCCCGAGAAAGAGAGAGTGAGAGAGACCGAGAGAAAGGGGGGAGAGGTGCAGAAACACAGAAATAGAGGAGAGGGACTGTTAGCTTGGTTAAGTGGATTATGTGATGTGGAGGGAGGGAGGGGCTCTGTCCTCTATCGTTGCTGCTGCTTCTGCACTGGTCAAATACGGCTCGAATCAAAGCAAAACAAAAGTATTTACTTACACAACAGTATTTAAATGTTGGATTTTCGCAGGGCTATGAGTGTACCCATGGCTGGGCTTTAAGTACTTCTTGCCAGTAATTGTTTGACTTGTGTGCCAGATGGTGAGCTTTATACAGAAAGACACAAGAACTGCTATTACATAAACACTTCAGTATATGCAAATGCTGCAAAACGTAGTCACAGAGTGAGATTTCGTTTGAGTTTGTGGCTTTTTTTTTTTTTTTTCAGAGAACAGAGAACTGTTTTTCGTTTGTTTTTTTTTTAACATGATTGCACATAAACTTGAGAAACAATGTGTATTTATTGAACATGCACTTAATGCTGATTTATATTATATGACATTTTCTTCTGATAATAATCATAGATTAATACTGACAGTGGTTAAAAAAATAATTTCCCAGTATTTATCCAGACAAAGACGTTTGTTATGTTAGCAACTTTTTTAAGGCTGTCCGTAGCTAGCCTACCTTGCACTTTAGGCTAATTAGCAAAAAACAGCAGCATGCTAGCACATTAATCTTGACAGTGCTATAAATGCTAATGCTGGATACTTGGTTCACCATATTGGTGTACTGGCATTAGAGCAGGGCGATTTGAACAAAAATATTTATCACGATATACATTTCAAAATTTGCGATAACGATAAAACTGACGATATAATTGACACTAGACAAAATACTTTACAACTCCACAACTTTATTAGTGCAAAAAAACCAAAGGGCATTTCCAGTGGAAATTGGCAGACAGATCCTCAGCATAACCATGTATAATATCCACAAAATTTAAGAGGTTATACACACACAATACGGTAATATTATGTTGAAGCACAGTACGTATCACTCCGCGAGGCTCCTGCCTACGATAGCCGTAATGCTCCAACAATCCATCAAGCGGTGCGGCTTCGTAGCTTAGCAAAGTCGTACTGAAACATTTGACAGATTTTCAAGCGCCGTGTACATAAAATCGTTTCGAGGTCAGTAAACACAAGCTGACTTCATACATAAGGCACACGGGATCATAAGGGGCACTGTCGATTTTCAGAAAAATCAAAGGATTGATTTTAAGTGTGCCGTATTTTCCAAAAAACACGGTAATAACAACGGCCCGTTAGCACTATTTTTGGTAGAGCATCCAAAAATAGTGTTTTGTTGTGTATCTGACGGATGAAAGCCAAACCAATTCCACACCACTGAAGTTGCAGCATTTTTACAAACCAATTATGGTTCTTCCGTTTCATTTAATGATCCGCTTTCGCTCTTCTCATTCTGCATCGCCGCCTTGTGATTATGTAAACAAAGGCACTGCGCATGCACGTTTTACCCATATTCTATTGCGATATTTCATTTTCCTATCGTTGCCCAACATTATACCGGTATTACCGTGAACGGTATGATATAGCCCAGCCCTAACTGGCATACTGACATTTTCTACTTAGCTTAAACTAGAGCTTATTCCAGTTGTTAAAAACTAGCCTATAGTTATGAGTACAGTGTCTGATTTGGGCTAAACTCAAAATTGGACTAAAAGTAGATAAATCACAGAAAACAAAACTCAGAAAACGATAAGGGTTTACTAGTACTAATATAGGCCAAGCAAATGGACCTCCAGTTCAAATAAAATTAAGACTAAATTTACTCAACACCAATCATGCAGCAGGAAATGTTGACATACAGTGCACCTACAAAAGGAGGAGTAAAAGCTAGTGAAATATAATCACTGTACCACCAAAATCTAGTGATCATGCCAGACTGTGTATGCTGAAACAAACACAAACTTAGATTGTATTTGATTGAACAAGTATGCATTATAAATTCATCTTATTTGTAAGACAGAGTATGTGATATATTTTAACAGCAAACTTGATCTACTAATATAGTTAAAGAACTTCAAAAACTTTGCATACTGCAGTGCAACCCTAGAGATAAAGTTCTTTTTGATTGCATTTGGGTAATTGCAAAATGCCTGTTAGACTAACAAATAAGCACTGACCTTAGAGGATAGAACAATAAAGTGTTACTTAAAGCATGTGTTTCCATTTCCTTCGCCTATGGAGGATAACAGAAGAGCTGCATTCAACTAAAGCACGTTGAGAGAAAACAGCCACTGGAACAGAGCTGACATTAATTCACTGTGTTTTAACAGCCTAAGTGTCACCCCATTGGAATTTAATGAAAGGGAACGTATGTTTAAAAAGCTTCTGGGCTTGTTGGGGTTGTTATAGGTCAACTTGGAGGTTTTGTGAATCACTGTGCCTATATGAGGAATGCTCAACCACGGGAGAAAAATTAGTTGAAGATCAGGTGAAATTTTCTTTGATTTTTTTTCAATAAAGCTGCAGCTACATGAGTCAGCCTTCCCACACACTGTTGTACAATGGCACATTACTGTGTTGGTTACTGTACTGCAAAAGACAGGGCAAAGGCACTTGAGAGAATTTGGCTAGAGTGTGTGTGTGTGTGTGTGTGTGTGTGAACCAGTTGGCCCACACTCCTTCAAAAGCTGTTCATGTTGCTTTTTAATGTCTGCTGTTTCCTGTGAAAGAAAACCTGAAGTGATTGCCTGTATAACATGTAACAATAAGCTGTACCCACCTTTTATTGTGTTTTTTCTCTTTCTATCCGCAGGACTACACATTGACTATGTATTTCCAGCAGTATTGGAGGGACAAGCGCCTGGCCTATGTGGGAATCCCTCTCAACCTGACACTTGACAACAGGGTTGCTGACCAGCTCTGGGTCCCCGACACCTACTTTCTCAATGACAAGAAGTCTTTCGTCCATGGAGTCACAGTCAAAAACCGCATGATCCGCCTGCATCCAGATGGGACTGTCCTCTATGGACTCAGGTGTGTTCTGCTTGTCAGGTCTTCTTCTTAATGAGACAGTGGGACTTTTGACTGGGCTACATGTTAGCATTCTCAGGATTCCATGTTGTACATTATCTTATGACTCAGTCACACTAGAGTAAAAGTAGGACGCCAACCTCCTTGCAACTACAAAAAGAAATGGTGGTTCATTTTGCCAAAATTTCCTTGTTGCAACTCAAAAAGGTTCTCAGTAGTTTGTATGGACCCACATGCTTGTATGCATACCAGACAATGTTGGGCATGTTTCTAATAAGATGATGGATGATGTTCTGGGAGATCTCCAACCAGATCTGGACCAGGGCTCACTGAGTTCCTGGACAATCTGAGGTGCATTTTAGCAGTGTTGGATGGACTGAAACACAATGTCACAGAGTTGTTCCATTGAATTTAGGTTGTATGAACATGAGAGTCAGTGGTAATCTTGAGTCCCTGCCTACTCTCACCATTGTTGTGCACCTGGAGTAACCCAGGACCCACTGCACAGGCACAGGGTCTAACAGTCAGTCCAAGGGTTTCATCCTGATACCTAATTGCAGTCAGGGTGTTGTGACATTAGCCTGGTGTTCAGGTTGAAACTGCTCTCATTGGTGACAATTGGCCAGAATCTGCCAATTATACTATTCTATGGCAAATGCCAATCTGGCACCACAGTGCTGGGCAGTGAGAATAAGACCCACTAAAGGACGTTGGTCCCTCGGGCCACCTTCATGAAGTCTGTTTCTGATTGCTTAGTCAGCGATATTAACACCAGTGGCCTGCTGAAGGTCATTTTGTAGGGTTCTAGAACTGCTCATCCTGTCCATCTTTGCACAAAGAAGAAGATACCAGTCCGGTTGATGGGTTAAGGACCTTCTACAGCCATGTCCAGCTCCAGAGTAACTGCCTGTCTTATGAAATCTCCAGTCTCCTCCTGAGACTGTGCTTTGAGACATAGTAAGTCTTCTGAAAACGACAAGTAATGATGTGCCATCCTCCAGGAGTTGGACTACCTGTGCAAACTCTGTAGGGTCCAGGTATCATGCTACCAGCAGAGAGACTGACCCTAGCTAAATGCAAAACTAATGAAAAAACAGTCAGAAAAGATGAGGAGCGGAAAAATGTCAGTGGCTGTAAAACCATTCCGGTGTTCAGGGTTGTGTCATTGTTGCCCCTTTGGTGCACCTGTTGTTAATTTAATCAACGGCAGTACAGTTGTAACTAATTAACAACCCCCTCTGCTTCTTAACTGACCAGATCGATATTCCAGAAGTTTAACTGAGTTGATGTTATGAATAAAAAAGGGCTCCCTCTAGTTTTGTTAGCAGTGGATATTCCCCTTATGCACCCGCCTCAGTTTCTTGCTCTAACAACAATGTCATTTTCCTGTTGTTATCAAATCCACAGCTTATGCAAACTTGATCCCACTTGACTTGCTATATAGCTAAAGTTTCATATAGCTTAATCTTTGGTGCCATTAAGTGTCATTGAGACCCCAAACAATTAAAAACATATCAGAGAACCACGGTGTTGCACTGCATGACACCTGCCTTGATTACCATAGATGTGCACTGCAGTTTATTTTGAATCCCACATACATCATTATGCTGCAGTGAACACTCAGAAGAACACCAAGTGTGTATTAATCCTCCACTTAAAAATAGTCCCTTGCAAATACTACTATTTTAGAGTTTAAGGAGATTATTGAGGTTTTTGTATATATAATTTAAAAATTCTACTAATTTTTTGTGACACATACTTTCATCAAAAGTAGAGCTTAGAGTTGCAAAGACAAAGTTAAGCAGTCTAAAAGTAATACAATACACTCGAAAGCATTGTTGATTTTGGTCATTTTATTTCATAGAGGAAAATACAGAGTGACAGCAACCTCATCCTTCAAAATATTTTTTCTTAAAATGAGCCTCTATATTTAGATAAATGAAATGATGAAAAGTTCCTATGATTATATATAGTCAGAAAAATAATAACAAAAGAACTGCATAAGGCAGGTTTATTAAAAATCCCAAATCCAAAAATAGAGAAGACCTGAGAACAAGACTGAGAAGAGAGCACAACCTGACAAGCGGAGAAAAGGGTAATAAGGAACAGGTGAACGTAATCAGACCCTACCAAGGGAAAGAACAAATGATAGTGCAATCACAGAAAATCACATGGGTTCTAACCTTCAAAATAAAACAGGAAGTAAACTGAGTCAAAATCAAACTCACAAAGTCAACAGTAACCATGAAAGCTGTTCTGGACAATTCTGGGCCCTGCAAATAAGCAACACTTATCACGCAAAAAGCAACAAAAGGATGATCAGGGTCAAGAATATTCCCTAAAGTTTTTCAGAGCCAAGTTAATTCTTTGTGTTCAAAGCCTTGTTTTGGCACAGTCCTGCAGCAGCTGAGAGGGTTTTGTGTCATGCTGAAGGGCATGTCAGTGTTAGCATTTTTATTATTTTATTTTTAAAGAGGGCTGCCGTTAGAGTTCATCTACGACAAGAAGTGCAGACAGGTTAGACATGATCCACAATGCAAAGTTCAGCCTTCAGCTATTGTTTGATGTTTGTTTCATAAAGCCCTTGTTTTGAATTTCCATTGATCTTTTCGACAAGCAGGTTCAGAAGAGCTAGTGTGACCTGTTATTATGGATGCAAGCTTTGAATTATTAGAGCAAAGCAAAAACATGTGTGTGTCTGTGTGTGTGTGTGCACTTGCACACTTGCATTTGCATGTGTCAGTGTTCATACTTTATAGTCAAGCAGCTATGCTTGATTATGCAAGTGGAGTTCATAGCATTTAGCCCTGTGGACTACTTATAGACCTTTCAGTGCTTTAAGAGATCAAAAGGAGAGGGAGACGTGTGACGTGGTGTTTGTGATATGAACTGTTACATAAATGAATGCCAGGTAGAGCTGAGTGATATGTTGAATGCAGATTTTTATCGTGGTTTCAAGGCAGCCACTCTGTATTTGTGTGTTTGCTGTTTATTAGGGAAAGCAGTAAAAAATACAATTTTAAGCTCTCAAAAGCAGTTTGTATTTACATTGTAAGTTGCATTTTGCCACAATGCTGTTTGTCATTTTTGCAAATATGGTCTATTAATTGCATTTTACAGAAACTGTCTGTAATTTAAAGAAAGATTAAATGAAATGTAAAAAATGTGCAACTACCAGTCGTTTAAAACCAATCACACACTCAGCCCTCCTGATAGCAGCTTGTGGTGCCCCAAATGCAGAATACAGATTCGTATTGTACTACAGTCAAAACCTGGAACGGTTTTGGTAAAATGATAAAAACGGAACTGTACAATTTCGGGCTTTAGTTTCACAGGATCCCATTCACTCTGACACAAGATACAGTCAAAGAGTTATTCACTTTTCAGAAGATCTTTTCTACAAGTTAATGTTAGCTTCCTTACTAACGTCTTTGGGATACTGTAGTAGTAAGATAATAGGCTAGCAATTGAATTTGCATTGAATACAGACTACTCGAGGGCACAAGAGTACTGTTAGCCTAACATTATTTGTTACTCAAATAGATGGTATTAAGGATTGACCCAGTTATACCTTGAAGTTATAAACTGGTTTCTGAAGTATCATTTTGAAACCTTGAAATGAGGGTTCTGTTGTTGCTGTCTTGGTTTAAAAAATCCAGTGTGACAAGGAGGGGCAGGTCTGACCATGATACCGAACACTCAGAGTACCAGGGATAATCCTGCTGTTTGAAACACAGCGTGATTGAGATTTAAATACAGATTTAATGTTTTATTCTGTATGACCCAAAATGAGTGAATGAGCCCATAACTTCCTAATGAAAGTGTTTACATAGGTCAGCAGTGATCTGGTAAAGTTCTGCATTGGTTTATTTTTCCAACCCAAAAGCTATACCAATGTCTTATAGCTTGTATGACTTCTCCTGTACCTTTACATGAATTTTTGATGGGGTTAAATTGTGCATTGAGTCTTTGTTGGCTGAATTTAGCTGCATGTGTTAGTTTGTCCAGCTGAAGCAATAGTTTCCTTGCGGCTGTTCACATGCTACTGTAGAGTCTTTTGAAATTTGGTCAAATCAGCAATTGGACTCTCTTTTGCTCAATACAAGCCCACAGCTAAGACTAGCTAGTTAGCTAGCTAGGTAGTTAGCTGTATGCCAAATAAAAAGAGATACTTCAACAATTTTTGTGTTTTTGATAAATGCAGTAATGAATAATAATTAAGTAAAAAGCCGTAACACAGGCATTTGGTTATTTCAGAATGGACTTCATGTCACTGGGTTATATTAGCTAACACGCGCTAACTGGTACAGTGTACGATATTTGTTTCTGACTTGGCTTTTGTTAGACAGAGTGGCATGGAAAAAAAAAGATTAAAACTGACCCACAACCAAATGCAATTATTTCAGGTTTAATTTATCAAATGACATTTTCTGATAATCAGTTGGATTTTGAGGCTGTAATTTATATTCCAATTTATGCCATTTAGATATCATCTTTTATTCATATGAATTTTTTTTTGATTAAACACCTTCGACTCCAATGTCCCCAAATCCATGGATTTTCAATATGTTCTAATTTAAAAACTGTTACTTTAATGATTTAATGTAAATCAACTAATTTTTTTTAACTGCTAATCAATACAGTGTAGGTAGTTTTTTTTTCTTGTTGTTACCATAATGAAATGAAGAGATAAGGTAGCAGAGAAGCTTCAGTGATATTGATAATCTGTGTCATGTATTGGAAAATGTGTTGGAAGTCCATATAATCTATAATATGTGTGGTAATGCTTACTGTTAATGTTACTGTTGAAGACCTCTTATTATGTTGCTGTAATTTTTGCTGCATAATAATATCACATAATGGAGCCTCATCTCAGTCTTTGCTCAGTGAATACATCCAGTGGCTAACTGCCAAGCAGCCAGCTTTTAATCAGGCCAGACTTAGCCTAAATCATTTTGAATTTGCATTTCACTTTGCTGCTTTTTTTAACTGTCTGATTATCAGTCGTTTGAGCTCGCACATCTGATAAACAAAAGGCACAGATACCTCCTCATGACCCAGTTCAGTTGAACAGGGAAGGATGCATTTCCTTAATATCATTTTTATTTTTACAAATTTTTACTTGATCGCAGGATGGAGGGATGGACAGTTTTGGTGAAAGGGAAGCACAAAATGTTTCAAAAGCAAACATGTTCGTTGCTTGTCTTGTATGATCTATAGTCTAATTAGGTATACAGTTACACAGTCAGCATTTTAACTAGGAGGTGGTGCTATAATCTTATTTTAAGATGACAATGCCAGTAGTCTCCAGTAATATGAAACCAGCTGAGGGACAGGTTGAAAAGGCAAATGGACATTTGGTTTCCTTTAAAGATGATAGGTGCTTTCACCTTAATGCTGTAATCTAATTGTATTCCCGCAGTCCCTTATTCTGTTAGGTAACTGCTTACCTGCATTGCTATTTTTAAAACACCTCAAATCCCTTACATCTTCACTCTCCTTCTGATCCGTCTTTCAGAACAATTTTAGTAAATCACATGTGTTAACTAAAATATACCCTCTCCCCCCATGCCTTCTTTTTCAGGATAACTACAACAGCAGCATGTATGATGGATCTCAGGAGGTATCCTCTGGATGAACAGAACTGCACTCTGGAGATAGAGAGCTGTGAGTAGACAGGCCTAATGCCTTGTGGGCTTGACAGATCAACAGCGGCGCACAGGCAGAGTGTCTCATGTGTGAAATGTTACAGATGCATGAAAGAATGTGCAACCTGAGGTACAGCAGCGGTTGTGTGTGTGTTTCTCTTCTGTGTTCTGTAGCCTTTCTTTTAAATCTGTACCAGATGGATGAGGGTAGTATATATGACTATGACAAATACTTAGCTAATTTCATTCAATATTATACTTCTATAAAGATTTGGGAAAGTTTAAAAGACCAATCTAGTGCAGTTATTTAGTTAGAAGTCATGCTTTCTTTTGCAAATGTTTGCACCTTATTTAACCTCGTAAAGATCCACTAGGTTGCCATGTGCTACTTAGGGTAGGAATAGTTTCAGACTCAATTCTACCTCTATAAATGGAATCTTATACCAGAAGTACTATAAGGTTAAAATGCATGTAGGAAAGTAGTTTTGAAAAGTAACAGCGTCAAGTTTCTGAAACCTGCTGCTAAAATTCAACCCTAACACAACTCCTTAGTAGTTCGTCAGTAACCTGGTGGGTGTAATGAAGTAACATTGATGACAAAATAACAATTACTTTTGGAGACTATAAAAGAAAACCTCAAAAAAAAGGAGTCTGTGCAAGACTTTACCCTCTGTCATGCATTTTCCTCTGGTTGCTTGCTGGTTCTATTGTAGCAAATATAATATTGAACTACGTCTACATAATCTGTGTCAATTATGCAGAACAACACAGGGGTTATTGTTCTGCATGCAGAGATATTTGTTCTAAACAAGCAATAAAAAGAGCTATAAATGCAAAACAGGAATATAGACAAACAGCAGGCCAAGGCATCAACCTGAGGGCAAGTCATTTAAAAATAAAAGTGATAAGTATATGGGAAGCATTCATTTATTGGTCACCTAACCAATGTAAGTCTAGTATTCGCTCTATTTTTAGCTCATTTAGGCCATTGGCCTATTTAATAGGTACACCTAGCTAGTTTCAGGCTGAACCCTATTTTGCTTTCAGAGCTGCCTTTCTTGTGGCACAAATTCAGCAAAGTCCTGGAAACATTCCATATTGACATGATAGTGCAAAACACTTAGCCCTCAGTCGATGTTTTCTCTTTTTTGGATCATTCATCACTGTGTAGAAAAATCTCAGCAGTTTCTGAAGTACTGAGATCAGTCGGTGAGACACCAACAGCCATGCAAAATTCAAAGTCACTTAAATTAATCTCTCTTCTTCAATCTGTGCTCACAATCAGCTCAGCTCTTGACTATGTCTACATGCCTAAATGTGTTGAGTTGCTGTCATGCGATTGGCCGATTGGATATATTTTGTTAACAATCAGTTTACTTATCCATTTCAGGATCCAGTGTGCCGGAGCCTATCCAGCCTATATAGGGCGAGCATGTAGAGTTGGAGGGAAATTCACATTCACACCTACAGCCAATTAGGAATCACCAACTGACTTAGAGTAACAAGGTTAGGTTAGATTAGGTTATATGTGGCCATTTAGCTGCTAAATGCTGCAAATGACTTTGGCCCTGTTCTGTTTTGTGCTGATAGCGAGCAGGCCATCGCGGCTTTAAACAGGGCTGATAAGAAACAGTGACACGAAACCGTGATGGCGTGGGCCAAAACAATGAGCTGAAAGACACCAAAGGGCTCGTTACAGACAGGGCATCCCATCTCTCTGTAGGGTGTGTTATTACGAATAACTGGGATGCCATTACACGTGTTATGTTGATATAAAAATATTGATTCAAGCAGATTTAAGTTAGACATTTCACATATTTATTTGTGAGAACTCCTCAGCGTTTGAATGCTGTATCACTTAGCAGCAGTGAGTGTCTCTGCTCGTCCTTTACAGACATCCTCAGGGCACCACTTGGTTTCATGTCAGCCTTCTGATTGGGCACTGATTTACACCTGGCATGCCAACAATACGGCAGGATAGGATTAGGCTTATCAGGAACACATAGAGTTTAAGGCTAGTTAGAGCCAATGTCTCGGCTAGAGTAAGAACAAAGCACATTGTAGATGTTTGTATTTATATTGTTTTTGGTATCATCCCCACAAAAATACTAAAGCAAGATCTGCTAATGGCACTGGACATGTCTATTTTATAATTCTTCTGACATTTTCCAAACCCCAAGTAAAGCTATTAAGAAAAGCGCCTGGTACTTGGAAACAACTTCAAAAGTGTTTTTTTATTTCCTTCCCAAATGACAGCCCAGTTGGATGATCAGCAACACTGCATGTCTTGGTCTCCAGTGATGGTTAGACAGATGGTTACACCTTGGTGTGCATGTGTGTGTGTCTGCGCACGTCTTCTTCTACAGATGGCTACACCACAGACGACATCGAGTTCTACTGGAAGGGAGGCGAGTCGGCTGTGACGGGGGTGACACGGATCGAGTTGCCTCAGTTTTCCATTGTCGATTACAAGCTGGTGTCCAAGAACGTAGTCTTTTCCACAGGTAAATGCTTCATCAGCTGGATTACCTCTGGGAATAATGCACGGTGAGGCTAACTAGGGGATGTGACATTTTAGATCATATTGTCCATTTCATGCACTGGCCTGTTTTCGGGAGCTGATTATTCCATCAGTTTCTGCAGCAAACATGCCAAAATGTCTGTTGATCTTATATCAACAGATATAATATATATATTGGTGCTTTTAATTGGATTGAAATGAGGAAATGCGCCGTCTTTGAAGTATCCCTCATGCAGCAGTAGGCAACGCAAGCTTGTTGGAATGGTGCTTAAGCGGGACATGTGGTAAATTAGAAAGTATATCATGCCCACTTCTGGCAGTTCTTGACCCAGAGAGGTGAAGTTTAAATGGATGTAATGGTTCAGTTATTGTGCTATCAGTAGGAAATGTAGCTGAAGACTCTTAACAAGTCAGTGTGATTGCAGCAGTCTGATTGAGAAGCCCCTGAAAAATTGGTTTCAAATACAATAATAATAAATAGTCATAATTAAAGACATGAATGTCTAAGTTTGTAGTTATTATTTATGAAAACCTCAGTTTCAATTCAGTTTTATATAGATAATACGATATGATTTATATAGCCCCAAACCACAACAGCTATCCTTTCAAGATGCTTCATAGTGTAAGGTAAAGACCCTAAAATAATGGGGAGAAAGCCCAAGCAACTAGGCAACCCCTATGAGTGACCACTTGGCGACAGTGGGAAGAAAAAACTCCCTTTTAACAGGAAACAAACCTCCGGCAGAACCAGACTCTGGCAAGGCAGCCTGCTGAACAGCTGGGATTGAGGGGAGGAAGATGGGACAAAAAATGATATTAAACAGTCACACAGCTGTTTGCAGATCTGATCTGAAATGTTGTTCCTTTCAGAAATCGCTCATGTTGAAACAACTAAATTGATGTAGGTTTGAAAGAAAATTGTATCTTAACATAAAAGTTGTATCAACATTTTTTGAATTATTTGTATAGCTTCATTCACTGTCATCACAATACAGTGACAAACACTTGAGGATGAGGATGTTACTTTAATACTGTTACACCCTACTATATTCACTCTCTGTGGGCTAAAATCTCCCGCTGCACTACAAAACATCCTGCTGCTAGAGCCCAGCCGATATTCAGTGATTCAAATATTGTGATAGTCCGATATGTGGGCAGATTTTTTTCCCTTTCAGAAACACGAAGCATAAACAGATTGTCACGAGCCAGCAGATCTCAGACCTTATTTATCATCAAATGACCTTTAACCTCTAATGAAATGTGGATGACAAGAAACACTGAGGAAGAGTTTCAGTATAGTTAGAAGGCAAAATGACAGGTTAAGGCAACTTGTAAAGTCAATGTATATGAAGGATTTACCGTATCACATTTCATGTTCTAATTCATGTGTGTCAGATCGCTGTAGAGGAGCTATTTTAACAAGTAATCCTCATTTCAATCATATTCCATGAACTTTGATTTGACACGTCGCCCATCCACTGAGGTCCAAAATGAATCAGACTGTTACTGAATGTGTACATTTACGCCGGAACGCAGAGTGTTTATGAACATTTCGAAACCAGCGACCATATAATCTGGTCAGAGGGGACACATCGAGAAAGGCGGCTTCTCCGGAGCCTCGGAAATAAAAGCTGTGTGACATTTAGTAATAATGTAATTTCTCACAGAAGTTATGCTCATGAGGAAGTGCCACGCTGGGTCTGAAAAGGACATGCACAGTAAATCACTCTTTGTTTGCCTTCTCGGGCGTGCGTAACATTTCTGTTGTGGCCGTTCTGCGTTATTTTCTGTTTTTTCATGCTGAGATGCTGTTGAAGCACGCGTGCACCTTTCTCTGTCTGTACTGCACGTGCGGCTGCTTTCCATTTACCATCATACGCGGGTGTCTCTGCCCTTCATGTGAATCACATGTAAGTGTGCCGATGCAAGCGCGTCTCTTGTTTATGAGAGGCGGCTTGTCCCTTGTGGGTGGTGGCTATTATTTTAATGTCCGGTGGTCTGCTCGCCCGCTCAGGATGTGTGAAGCACATCAAAGGCTCCCTGCCAGGCTGCCTAATGATCAGGTCTTGTCCATGTCATGTGCCACTAGCAAGCCTTTAGTTCCCTTCCCTTTTTTTCCTTTCCTGCTATCCCTCCAATCTGTCACTATCTCTCCCTCTTTTCTCTTCCTCCTGTTTTCCCTCCGGGCTTTCTTTAATATAACTTTTCTTAGTGCTTTTAAAAGGTGTGCTTGGATGCCAACTACCCTGCTCGCTGCAAGAAAAAAAACCCGGGTTTCAGGGCATCATAAATTCATGTGAAATGAGGCCCTCAACACATCAGTGTTTCTCATTTAAACACACACAAACTGTCTGTTTGCATGCGAGGGTAATATCTGCATGTCCGTATGGAAATGCTTGTATGGCCACTAGGGCAACATTTCTGAGTTAGGTAACATTTAATAGACTGTATAGAAAAGATGGATGTTGCTACCATGGTTTCAAAAGTCTGCTCAGGAACAACTCAAGGAACACAACAAAGCTCGCTTAGTCCCAAACCAATCAAGCATCAGAACAAGCTTGATTCACTGATGTTACCTAATGGATCCAAAGTCCGGCACCCCCAGAGATCCTCTGTGTGTGCATCAGGAGGTCAGAGCTCTTTTTGGCAGAACAGAGAAGCAACAAAATACTAAGCGGGTGGCTTTAATTCTGTGACTCGTTGTTCTTTAAGCCTCGAATATACCTTCGAGTTTGTGTGTTTTAGAAAACAAGAAATGCTTCGTTAACAGCTTTAGAAAAAAAAGCCCTGAAAGTACTCATTTTTAATTAATGTAGGACTGAAATTCATTAAGAAGCTTTTGCAGACTGCGCACAAGGACAAATCTGGCTCACTTTTGCCGAGCAACGGTATTAGAAAAAAAGACTTCACTAAGACTTCTGCTGCATACTTGCGATACACTTTTAAAAGCCAGTAATGCAAACAGTTATATCATGCAGTGCTTCATCTGAGCTGCAGGTAGTCAGCCCAACATAAAAACACGGAAAGCTAAAAAAACAACCTTCATAAAGAAAGCTTGAGCAGCAGGATCCAGTGCAAGATTGGCGCGTATGGGGTCAGTGGATCCCTTAAAGATGCGTCTCATTGCCAGAATCAAACTGTCAGTGGATACAACACAGCCTCTCATTGCTTCTAAACCTTGACAGTAACACTCCTGCGATCAGCGTGTCAAAGCAGACAAAAAAAGTCACCACCTTCAGCCTTACCCAGACTCCACTATATGACTGCCATCATCACCTTAACTCTTCGCCTTTTCTGTTTTTTTCCCCCTCTCCTCCCTCTCCTCCCCGCCCTCGCACATGGTGTTCCTCCCACTTGCCGATGTTGTTTGGTATAGCAGTTACAGCCAGTACTGCTCTACACCCACACACAAGTGAACCTCAGCCTCCTCTTTTTCTGAGCCACTTCTGCATCTGCTACTGCGGAGATACTCTGCTCCGATTTAGGCTGGAGGAGTTGCCATTAAAGCTGCATCTAAAAGAGTGAATGGGATATTGCCACAGTCTGTTCCTATATTCACACTGCGGTGAAGTGTAGGTTCAGCATGTGTGGAGTTTTTTCACTGCTGCCAAAACTGTAAATATTGGAGAATCATTGAATGTGATAAACAACGCATACTTTGTGTATTTATATGAACGCTAACATATGCTCGACTGTGAGATGAAGCTTTGGTTAAAGTTGCACAAAGAATTAAACACAGAAGCTTATGGAATTAGCTAGTTGAGACAATTAATTGATCAGTGAATCATTTAAGCAACTAATCAGTTGATTAGTGAAAGTCAAACGGAGTCAAATTCTTCGTTTTGGCCAAATAAGGTTTTTTGTAACTCATTTTAATCAATACATCCAGGTAAAATTTCACAATCACACAGTATTGGGGCAATGTGTCAGCTAGTGAGCACACCCTAGATATGCCTCCTTTAGAAATCGAATTATTTTTTTTCTTTTATTCAGTATAACCCAAAATGATTGACTGAACCCATAAACTAATCAGTAAAGTCTTTACAGGATTAGAGAGCCTTTCCAGTTCTGACAAACCTGCCTACATAAACGTTCTTGCCGATATTGACAAGGGTTAGACTCTCAAACCAACAACTTGTGTCTCTAACCCTAAGATGTAGCTTTTACTTTAGATTTGAGTGTTGTTAAGCTGACTGGAAAACCAAATATACCAAACAACATCCATGGATGTCTGGTGCTTGGTGAGGTAACTTTGGAACAACCAATCAAATTGGCACGAGGATCTGTTAACACCAAAATCCCTACTTTAGGCTTACATGCTTTACTTGTATTTATTTGTAAGTGGAAGTGATGGGATAATTTGGGATATTTTATTACACCTAGTTAGGTGTAATATTACTTTAGCATGTGTTCATGTTTCTAATTAGTCGAGTCATTCGTAATGAGTCATTTGGCACCGGGCCCCGAGAGTTGAGGCTCGGGTGTGAAATTTATGGTTTTCAGGGTTTTTATCGTTAGCTCGGTTTCCCTGGGTGTTTTCCCATGTTGTAGTTGTTTTATTTTGAAAGAAATATTTACGCGTTACCATAGCGATCAGAGAGCATTAAGAGGCAGCGAGGAGGATGTTACTCTGTGTTGTTGGCACATTTCTGGAGGAATAAGTTACACAATTACACAGTGAATTTGCGTTTATTATTATATTTACAAAATACCACAGTTTTTGTCTTGGTCGTATCATTTTATTTTGTTGTATTTATCCGCGACACCGCAAAGGCTGGTCCGTAAAATTATTCTGACATTAAACCGGTCCGTGGTGCAAAAAAGGTTGGAGACCTCTGGACTAGATGGACAAAACTATCAGGCCACACCTCATAATCTGAATTTTGTCAAAAAGTGGGTCATTCGAAAGAGCTCACTGAATTTTAGTGCGGTAAACAAATAGGTTGCTAAGTCAACTGATGAAAATTCTACCCTCTTAGATATTCCACGATAAGCTGGTTTTAATGCAAAGTGCAAATGCTTTAGGAGCCACAGGAATTCAGCCATGAAGTGGCTGTGTAAAGTCCCAAAGCAGGGTTACCAAGTGCTCAGGTGCAAAGTGTGTAAAAGTTGCCAACACTGTGCTGAGTTGGCATTAAGATCAGCACTAAAACTGTGCTCCAGGAGCTTCATGGCATGGCAGTTCCTGCAGGGGTAATGTGTAGGTGGCCTAGTCCTTTTGTCTATATACTTCTGTATTTCTACATGGTTTTTATCTTGAAGGACGCAGTTATAGAAATAAAAAGAAATAAAAGTGGCATTAAAACTGAACAAATGTTATCTACTTGATAAATAAATTAAATGAAAACCGAAAGACAAGCAAAAATCATTATGTTTCAGGGACCTTTTTAAAAAATATTTCAGAACTCATGAAGGCACGAAGGTCAAGGGAAAAACGTCTTTTTTGCATCAATAAAGAATATTTTTCTTCATGTTGACTTCAGTGTACATGTATATTGTCTGGTATGTGTTTGTGGTACATGTATAGACTTTGTTGTTCATTTGTTTGTTGGTGATAAAAATTTGATAGGTAGGTGGAAAAATAATGAATTTAAGCCTAGTAGGATTCACTTTCTGGGAACTATGAATATCTTCAGTATAATAAACAAATCCCATATAGACCAGTTGGGCCAACACTGCATTATAGCCTGCTGGTGCGAGACTGTTTTGGGAGTATAATGAGTTAATGTGGGCTTTGTGCATGACATACTAAATAATTCCACTGATCCATCATGATATAAAATGGGGTTTGTGGGTGCTGAATGCTTTAAAAAGTCAAATCAGTCAATAGCTCTTAGAGTACATAATAACATTTGATGTATGGCCTGTTTTTGAAATTATATGTTGCCATTTTTATTGCTATCTAACATACAGCTGGTGCTGAATCTTAATGAGATTGGGTGTGGGTTTTTTTTTTTTGGTTTTTTTTAAGTGACTCTATGAAACTCCACACAAGTGTGTAGTCGATTGGACCCACGCTCACCATAAGTAGCTTTGGCTGACACCCACGGATTGGCAATTACAGCATAATGGGCCCCACTTCTCCTCCAATATAAAACAAAAATGGAAAAATGTCTAAGAATAGTGGGAGTAACAAGCCATAGATAAAATCTATATAGAGACATAATGCTAGGAGATTGATGAGAAACCGTGCCACGCCATTTATATCAGCGCTTCATGCACAGTCATGCACAGACTCTGTTTATATTTCAGGTCATGGAAAAAAAATTAATGGCAAAAATGCTCTCTCAAAAGCAGCGCTATAATTTGAAATTCCTGACTTATGAAGCCTCTGAAGCACCGCTACATGCATTTATAAAGCTCAGCATTCTTGTAATGCCGAATCCTTCAGAATCCACCCATGAATTATGGAGGTGGATGATGTGGAGAATTGATAAATCAAAACATGGTGAAATTTTTATCACCGTCCTGAATATTGTGTCACATCTCTCTGATGCATGACTGCAGTTTTGTGTGCGCGTGTGAGAGCGAGTCAGTGTGCGTTTGCGCGTTTGAAGGGGATGCTTGTTACCATGGCGACCCATGCTGCTGGGGTTGCTGTGGGAACTGAAACAAAAACACGAGGTGTCCCTGCATGCTTCTCAGAAGAACAAAGTTAAAACATTATCAAGTGAATGCAAAAATAACGTCTAAGGGATGTTAATATGTTTCATTTTACCAGTTTTTATATTACACGCCATGAACCTTCAGAGGTTCTTGCCTACTTTATCTCTCAACCACTCGTCTCTGTCTCGCTTATCTTAAGGTGCCTACCCTCGACTGTCTCTGAGCTTCAAGCTGAAGAGGAACATCGGCTACTTTATTTTGCAGACGTACATGCCATCAATCCTAATTACCATCCTCTCCTGGGTGTCCTTCTGGATAAACTATGATGCGTCAGCAGCCAGAGTGGCTCTAGGTAAGTAGTGGTGACTGTTTAAGAGCAAGTATTTTTCTTTCTCAGATGAGGTCGGGGACTGGTAGAAATCAGAAGCTGCCTTTCTTCCTTCAGCTTGATTCCCAAAATAGTCTGAACTTCTCCTGTTATTGTGTCTGAGCTTTGGGAACTGGCCTGTAAATGGATGGACTAAATGGTGATAGATTTGAGGAAAAGTGCCATCCTGTATGTCTTAATGGACTGTTTTTATCCATTGTGACAGTTTCTGTAGGGCAAAAGTACAAATTCACTGAGAAGCCTTCATGAGCTACAAATTCATCACATATCTAATGGGCATTATTTAACCTCTACTTGAGTGGTGCAGTTTAGTAGCACTCAACAATGCAGAGATCAAGTAAACAAGTCAGTGGTATGTAATTATGGAGATTTCAAGCTGGAGGCTGAAGCATAGTTTTGCCTTTGTGTAAAGCTGAGCCGACCACACATCAGGCAAGTGCAATGGTCAGGATATGAAGGCAGCCAAGGTAATATCTCAGGTGCAATTTATACATAGTGCTTTCCACAACACTCATACTTGACATGCTAAATAGGTAATTAAGTGTTCATTAAGCTACACCTCTAAATAACAGAGGTCCAGTTCAAGCTTAAGGAGTAAGGAAACAGCTCTACTGCCTATTTCTGAGAGAGGGTGGTCTCTTCCTTTAGTTTTTATAAACCCCAAAACAAGATGAAACTCAAAAGAAGTATATGTGATATAGCTTTTGTTAGCGCTAATATTATGCAAGGTAGCCATAAACCATGTTTAGCCGTAAGTACTAGCTGTGAATACTGCTGTAAAAACAGCATACTGTCTGTACTAAGATTGTGTTGAACATTTATTAGCAGCAACATGGCAACCAGAGACCACTTCAAGTGACGACAGGCAAAATAACCACTGGTGACTTGAAGTGGGCGAGTCCCGAGTTACACTGTTCTCAACTTTGTAATTGCTAATGCTAACTTCAATGTTGCTTTGCAGTTAGCAAAATAACGTTTTGGTTACTTTGAGCAAATCACTACTTTATGGAGTTTAACTACCCAGCAAACATAGTGAAAACTGTGACATTATTCGATGGATCAAAGCGGTTTGTGGTAAGATTACACCACAAATGAACAGATGTTGATATTTCCTCAAATTTTTGTGTTTCAGCAATGTCTACTCTTACGAAGCAAGAAATGTCAGTCATACATACAACAAAGAAAGAAAATGGATGTGTGTTTTTTTTACAGCATTGGAGTGATAAATAATTTAGATATGAAATAGATGCAATCAGACAGCCACTCTGCATAAATCCAGATAAGTTCAACATGTAATACACAATCAGTTGTGTGTTGCTTACTTGCTTATCTGGATCACCACCATTTACACTCTATCCCCCAGTATTAGTATAACCTTTTAGAGCAGTCTGATCTAAGTCTTTATTAGTTCTCTAATCATTTTTGTTCTAACAATATGTCAGAAAGTGTGTTACATAATATAACAATTGTGTGAAATATCATTGTTTAACGCTACTGGTTAAACTAAGTAACACATTTTTAACCAAACAGATGATGAGATGGTGAGCCTTTCGTTAGTAAGATTTCCCATTGTTAGAGATGCTGTAGGTGGTTGGAGAGAACTAACATTGTCAGATACCCTTCAGGGACTATTTTGGAGCCATTTCACAGTGAAAAGAGAAGGCTCTCTCTGAACTGGCAACAAGCCACGGATTCATGCAGCAAAGCCTCCGCAACCGGCAAACTTTTCCAAAAAAAAAAAAGAAATTCCAAGTTGTGCTAAATAAATGATGCCATGGAAAATGAAAGCACAGCTTTATGTGCTAATCTTGAATTAGGAATATTTGTAGTTGTTTTCCTTTATTGACTTTTCATAAAATGCTTTCATAACACTTAACTATCCCAACTAGGCAAATTAAGGCAGAAGGGGCCAGACCTTTAAAATCCCAGACTGTAATCAGTTGGCAGTAGTAGCCAACAAGTAGTCAAGTTTGGCTGCAACTAATGATTGAAACGAATCAGTTGATGACTGATTGGGTAATTATTCAGCTTCTAAAAGTGTAAGGTGACCTTTTGAGGTTGGTTGTCCAAAATCCAAAGAAAGGCAATAAATCTGCAGTGCTGCTCTGCCGTTGTGGACAAACTTGACGGAAACTTTCAGGTGTGGCTGGAGATGGGTGAGCAGTAAATGTTTGCCCATGGGCCAAATAGTTCAATCTGGCCATGCCAATTGATTGCTGCTTCAGTCCTTCAGTTCAGTTTGTAAGGATAGATAATGGACCAGTAATGACCTTAACACATCATAATGCTTTTTGGAAAACATGTTTTGATCCATTACCTTTCAGCAGCATCCATCTGTTCCCCTGCTACCCTGGAGGGAATCTGTGTGTGTGTGTGTGTGTGTGTGTGTGTGTGTGTGTGTGTGTGTGTGTGTGTGTGTGTG